CCAGCTGGGGGCGGGTTGAGGGGAAAGCTGCTCAGGAGCCCCCCATGGCCAGTTGGGAAGTAGCCAGAGAGCCAGGGCTGCTGGGGAGATGAGCCATGGGGGGGTCTGCCCCATTGAAGCAAGTTCATCACTATCACGTATTTATAAGCAGCTACTAGGTGACAACTGTGCCCCTGGAGTGCATGCTCCACCCCAGCAACCTGAGACCAAACGTGTGACCTTTACTCCAAACTCAAACAGTGCTACCACAGTTACTTCCTTTGATTCTTGGAGTGGAGTCAGCTACAAGCAGGTCTTCCTGTTTACTGTACCTCAACTAAGTGACCTTGGGAAAATACATTATTCTGATCTGAACAATCTCTTAAATAACCTGTAGAAAATGTTATTGGCTTTTCATTTCTGTGTACTGACAAAGTCATCACGGCAAATCCCCCTGTCACTGAGGGATTTTTCCACTGGCTAATCTAGTTAATTTCTAGCATTTTCTGCAGCAAAATCTCTCAAGTACCGAAGACTTCATGCTTTCTAAAAACTGTACTCTGTGCTCTCTTCCAGTATGCAAATGCTAATGTGAGTATGGTCAGAGATGGCTGATACCTACCCACATAGCTTCAGTGCTACAAGGCAATTAAATGTCCTAGGGTACATTGTGAATATCAGTGGAAATGCTCACTTGCTTCTGCTCAGGAGCCCCATATCTGCCTCATAGATCCAGTCAAATGTGTCTCTTGATTATTCACCAGGTTGCTATGTAGGGTTGCCAGGCGTCCGGTTTTTGCCCAGACAGTCCATTTTTTCTGGCCCCCGTCTGTTAAAAAAAAACAAAAACCAGAAAATACCAGACATGTAAAATACCCGGTGTTTTCTGTTTCTCTCCCATGGAAGGCCAGTGGGGACAATCTTCCCATGCCACGTCTGGTGTGGGCGGGGGGAAGTGAGGAATGCGGGGATTCTTAAGGGTGCAGCACCTTTTCTTACCCGGGGCCACTCCCTCTTCTCCAGTCCCCCCCTTCCCGGGGCCACTCCCTCTTCTCCAGTCCCCCCCTTCCCGGGGCCACTCCCTCTTCTCCAGTGGCCCCCCCC